CCATTGGTGCGAATATTGGACTAGTTACACCAAACGCACATTCTGCTGGCCACAAAACGCCTGACTCCGGGTCGGAGCACACCGCCGAGGTGCCACGCCTCGCCCAAACGCTGCTCATGAAGTCGTGTGAATCCATGTCGGCTCAACAAATTCGCGAGATAACGAACGCGCTATTGAGCCTGCAACGCGGTAGTGGCCCAATGGCAAACGAGGGCGCCATGGGCGGCAGTAGCGGTGCCACGCAACACTCATTGGGACAGCCGCAGCAGCAGCAGTACGAAATTCAGCATCAGCAGCAGAACGATAGTGGCGGGGAGGCTCAATTAATGAAGCCCAACTTCCGCGTGGGCTCCTATACCACGGCGTACATGCGCAACGAGAAACGGTTGGGCTCGTTAGCGGCTTTGGCCACATACATGAATGACGAAGAAGAAGAGCAGCAAGGAGGTTAGTACGGCTGCGTTGGCTTTACTTGCCTACATACATACATATTCGCTACGCAGTGTCAATGTTCTAAAGTTGGTTTTGTTGCACTAAAATTATTTTACGAATAGATTTGATATCATTTTTCTCACTTATCGAATGCAATTATTTCTAACACTGCAATGTCTTTTGTGTTCTAAGCTGCCACACCAGTGCCCCAGAAGCACCGAGGTATCTACACCCTTTGTAGAAATTAGAATTTTTGCCTTTGTGCGAGTAATCGACTAAAAAAATTTGTATGTGTACGTATGTATATGCGTATGGCCACAGGCATAAGTTGTATCTATATATATGCACATATGTATGTATATTAGGGCGGGTCAGTTTGTATCAGAGAATTTTCAGACGATGCGCGTATATCATAGAAGAATTCTACGTGTAATAATTTTGAGTTTGTCAAATTGCGAAAATAGGTTTCTTAGCATTTTGCTGTAGTGTAAAGAAGTGCTTACATTTTGTATAAAAACATGCTATATGGTATGAATAATCCATTACTGCATTTGTTTTTTCTTCAAACTTCCACCAGAGGGTGCAACAGTGAAAGTTTTCTTCCAAACCTATTTTCGCAATTTGGCAAACTCCAAACTGATTTTTGGCCCATTATCTCTTCGGCAAATTTGCTTAGAATTACACGTAGAATTCTCCCTTGCTATTCGCGCGTAGTAAAACAAAACAAAAAAATAAAATAAAAATTACCGCCCTAATGTATATCCTATACATATTTATTTAAGAATATAGATTTCCACATGCAAGTGGCTATGGGTAATATGTATACACACACATCTATGTATGCTTTAATTTATTTTAATATACATATGAGTTCTATATGTTTGTTTCTAACAAAAACAAAACTTAAAAAGAGCCCAATTAATTTGAATTTCATATTCCAATACAGATTACACCACCGGCACTGACGATCACCACAGCAGTTTCTCGGAAACGGCCTGGGACAACTATCAAGAGAAATATAACTCGGAGAACTACTCTGAGGGATTTGATTCGGATGCAGCCAGAAGGCTTATGGAATTCGGTGATGATTATCGGTAAGTAAAGTATGAGGGCTCATCGTGAAAGCTTGCACGAGGTAAATGTATCTTGCAAACGAGAGGTTTTTCGGATCTTCAAATGCAAAGCAAAATATCGCTCGCGAAATGGATGTAGATCTCTTCAAAGCCTCCTTGGCATGGTGCAATTATGATCGTGAAGAACTTTAGGTGGCAAAAATTTCGAGCAACAAACTTTCTGCATATATTCTGTCCCTACAATTGGCCACAAATATGAAAATAAACTAAAAATAAATTTT